TACAAATACAGACCATTTACCAAATAGTAGCATTGCTAACTCTGAACCACGAGCAGCTTGTTTAGTTTGAATGAATTCCTGTGCTTTTAGACATAAATGTTACCAAATATCTCCACCAAGAAGAAAAAAAGCCTGCTGTGTGTTTGTTTATTGCAATAAGGGAGATTCATGCCCATTTCTAAGTTAAATTTTCATTGATGGCTGCAGAGAAGGTTGGAGCCGTTTTAGAAAAGCATCAACATCTAAAATATCTCTTTTCCCTGATCAAATAACAGTTAAATATTATTGTTTGATAAGTTATGTGAAAATGTGAAAACTCACAGATGCCAGAGGATTCGGCGTCGGAAGAAGGCCTCCACCGGGCATCATTCCTGCCACAGCATTGGCTGGAGCCAACAGCGACATAGCTTTAGATTCATCGGGAATGACTCCTGGAGGAAAAACCAAGAACATCTCAGTACATCTCCAAAGACGACGTCGACAACACTCAGACAAGACTTGCAGACAAGCCACCTCAGTCTAACTACACTGTAGTAAAAGAATGAAAAACAAAAATCCACTTTTTTTTGTCTTGTCTGTAAATCTTGAGCCCTGACTTTTGTTGTTGTTGTTGCTGTTTTGCTTTGTTGTGAATATGATTGTAGGATTAGCAGCTATAAGTTTCAAAGTCACAATACACACTGTGGTCAACACTGCCAAGATTTTATCACCTGTACTTGTTTTTTAAGTCATGAACCAAACGTAAGCAAGCACAGCCAGTTGTCCCGTGGGATGTGCTCTCAACTTTCATTAGATGTTTTATGAACAAGCGACTCGCGCCGGCTGCTTCGCTATAAAGCACACAAAAACATTGAGATACAGAAAACAAAGTTCATGATTTGGGTGTAGACACAAGGGTACATTTCAACATCACTTACCATTACCAATACAAAAAACAGAAAAGGCTTACTCATTTGACCTTTTCTAGCCTTTTTCTGGTGGGTTCTCTCTCTTTTTGTTTATTTTGTACAACCCCACCACAAAAAACACTTAACAACCAGGTAAAGTACTGCTAATCAAATACAGTACTGACAGGTTTTAGCCAACAGTATGTCACAAAAAATATAGTAAATAAACAATAATCTACACTGAACAATTACAGGCTATTGGCAGCAAAGGTAGTGATAAGAAAAATATTCCCAAAGCTGAAGAGAACCAAACGGTAAAAATGACAGAAAAAAAATCTCATGAGATGATCATCCATGGCTGTGCAATCTGAAAACAGGCTATTTTTTAATCTGACATGTTTCTTTACATTATGAAGGGAGGAGAGAGGGAGGGAGGGAGAGAGGGAGAGAGAGAGAGAGAGGGGGGAGACATGCACCCACGCACACCCACGCACACAACAGAAAGGACACTTGAGAAACAGGATAAGGCTGCAGAAGACAAAACTGTTGGTGGCATTTTCAGCGGGGCCTGGTAAATAGGGCTGGCTGAACCAGGAAAAAGAACTGTAAAACACAACAACAAAAGAAACACCACTGTTAAACGTGAGATTCACTCAACTCGTTCAGAGTCATGTTTGGAGAGGGTCAATTTAAAAAATTAAGTTAATAAAAATGCATTTTTACGGCAACATCAAGAGGCTTAAAACCATAATTATCTCTTGTGTTAGTCAAAGTTTGGAATGCAAATTTACAGTATAATAATGATAATATAGTAATAACAGTAATACAAGGCTTTGGGAAATAAAGCAAGTAAATGCCGAAGGCAGTTTCTGTGCTTATTATGACCAAAAGCCAAATTAGAATTAACTGCCACAACACCCGCTGGCCAAAACTCAGATGATGGCAAACACCTTCAAAAATCTAGTCTAGCATGCACAGCTGATTAGTTCTTCTATTTGGCATGCTTTGTGCTGGTGTAGGGATGTCCCGAACATTTTCTTTTATTGGTTTAAAGTCTGATTAGTGTTAACAAAAGGAAACAGACCCAAATCTTGATCCAGTATTCATATTTTCCCTCTAATGTAGCCGTGTGATAAGTTTCCAGCTAAAGAAATTTACATTAAAAAAAAGAAGAAAAAAAAAGTTCAGTTTGGAGACTTGTGTGTGTGTTTGAAGGGGATGGATTCAACATCCACACAGGTGTTTTCTCTTATTAAGCTGATCAGACCAGTTTTCAGGAGCTTCACCCTAACTCTTTTCCTGGTTTTCTTGCACCTACTGGCCTAGAGTTTGCGATCCAACCATCACAGCCCAACCCAAGCTGATCCTAAAAACATGATCAAATCAACCAATAACCGAAACACCTATGCGTACGTGCAGAGCATTTACTGCTATGTCACTGTGGTCTGATGGCTTTCACAGTATCTCAGACAACATTAAAACACATTGCTGCCGAATTTCAATTCGCAGAAGGTTAAAATATAAACAGAGGATCAGAAATGGTTCCGATATGTTTGGATTGCCTTGACACTATTCGACTTGCTCGGGGTATCCCTTGTTTGGTGAATGCCTACTACATGACACACATTGTATCTGAGAATATAAAAAATCCTTTCAACATGTGAGGACATTAGATTTCCCTGCACCCTCCCAAATCCCCTAATTTGATTAAGCAGTTGTGAGGCTATTTTTTTTTCAAAAAAAGATGCCTTGAACAGAGAGAAAAAAAAGTTAATATTTTACTGCAGAACAAGAGAGAGAAGGGGCTTGCGAGCCTGGTGCCATTATTTTTTCTAATCTCCTGATGGCATCAGAGGACCACTTTCAGCCAGCAAGGAAGGGGCTCTCTGCAAATGACTTGTCCACTATGAAAACCACAACACAAATAACAGAGAGAGAAGTTTACAGCTAGATTGTAAGACACAGACACAAATGTACATTTCCCTTTTACATACCTAGAAATGCCAAGCACTGAAAAGCTTAGCTGCTTTCTCATGGCAGGAAAAACAGAAACCTCAATGTCTCTAGTGTTTGCAAGTCTAACAAATACACCTACGCATTATGACGTACGTTCAGAGATGACCACAGCCAAAGGAATAAAACAGACACCCACCTTCAGCGAAAGGGACCACGATCAAGGCTCTGTCCACGAAGACTGTGTTCGTCAGATGTTGGGAAACTCCCACGGACTCAGCCTCAAGGAATTTTACAAAACAGACACGTGAAGTCACAGGCAAGGGAGAGTCACTGGAAGAAAATACAGATAGGTTGTGCAAAGAATACAAACAAGGGGAGACAACATGCCTTCTTCATACTCAGTCTGTGTCCACAGGGACAAGAAAGCACAGGAGTGACTCTTGTTCCCTGCATCCTCTGCATAGTACAACACAGTATCATCCAGAGGTGACACACAACCTTTTTCTTCAGCCATTTCTGATCCTGTTGCACTCCTTAGCACCACAGTATGAGGATAAAACTCAATACTGGTATAAAACTGGTGGCGATCAAACTTTCAAACAGTTACTAAATTGTTACAACTACATCTACCCGGAAAATCACCTTCTTGATTATGTCATACCTGTCCAGTAGCCACGTGTAATTCAACAGAGAAAACACAACACAGAGAGAATTAAGGTAAGAAAACACTGTGCAGTGTGTACTGTAGCTCATTATTGTCCACTGTGGATCTAAACAAAGCATGCACCTAAGGAAATATTCCAATTTAGCTCAACCAGGCGTGTAACCAAATGTCCCACTGCTCATTAAGAGTCATAATTAGTTGTTCTTTTGCACTGTCGCTGGTTTAGGATGCTAATCAACAGCTCATTTTATACGAAAAGCTGCCACATAAGTCCCACTTGAAATCAAAAATAATTAGGAGCAACTCTGGTGATTATTAAAATTAAGCCATTCATGCTTATTTCTCCCGTGTATATTTTTTTGACTTTGTTTTCTGACGGAGAGATTACAGATAACTCGATAAACAGGATGTATAGCTGCCTACCGTGTATGTGTTAGATAACCGACTTACACAAACGATTACCAATTTTTTGATTGCTTAATCGACAAATGCGATAGTCAGCAGATGCGTATGGATGAAGAATTGAAGTATTGTTAAATACATGCATATCTAATTTGAGAGAAGCAAGTGCTGCCACGTTAACTAAAGACGCGGGAGCATTAGCATTAGCACTACCGTGCAGCGAGGCCTGCTCGATGCTGTAGGCCTCAGCAAGAGCCCCGCGTGAGCCGCCATAGATTGTGGAGGAGAGGATAATTTACCAGTTCATAATTCACAATACTCACTCGGGCGGGAACAGTTTGAGCTCCTCTATGGTTCCGAGGAATCCAAACAGAGTCCTCATTTGTTCGGACGTGGTACTCGGTGAAACGTTTGTCACCTGGATTACGTGCGTGTTGGAATTCATTTTTGCGAGTGCTATAGTCGAGCTAGCTATATGCTAGCAGCGTCCCCGAATCTTAAACAGAAAAGACAAAAAACTGTAAACGTTCACAACTACAAAAACATCAGGCGACCACAAAAGCTAGCATCTTCCCCAAAGATAGATGGTGGTTGTTTTTTTGGGGGGAGGGTTTTGTTTTGTTTAGTTTTTTTTCCTCCGGACAGCCCTACAACAGTGAGCACAGAACAACAATGCCACTGCCCAAACTGTCGTGAGGTTGCGTTGGATACTTCAGGTACTGTTTGTAGAATCGTACTTAATAATTTTTCCTCCATGTACAGTCGTCACAAGTTAATATACACTCATCATGGGCATTAATTTCATAATCATTTTTGGGCTTGTAATGACTTATTTGAACTGTCCTTTTATAACAACCAAACAAAAAAACAAACAAAAAGAATAGGGATGCACAAGTTTTAATTTATTTTGGATTTTCTCAAATCCACACAGGGTCAAAAATATATGCCGCACGTTTGATCTTTTCAAGAGATGGAGTAAAATTATATTGATCATAGTGGACTGCACTGTGTTACTAATAAAATTCTGGCACTTTGGTTTTGAAGGTGGAATCTAAGGTAGTGCACACAAATGTATTGATGCCTATCTCGAAATTAAATATTTTGAGGTAATTCTCAAAGTCTGTTGTGCTTTAATGTGATATATAAATAAACTTGACTAATGTTCTGTAAAATAAACGAAATAGTGTTTCATAAAGCTGAAACAAGAGAAATGCGCTGGAGAGTAAATAGCTCTATTTTTTTCCCACACCACATAAAGGCAACACGAGTCGGAATACGGCTGAAACCAGGTGGGTGTGTTTAAGGTTGTGTCACATGATTCTGTTGCTAGGCTGTTAGCTGGTGGCTTCTCCATCTAATGTTAGTGCATTCTCTTACCTCCTTACCCTAAACTATGCTATTATACACAAATCGTTTTCAGGCGACAGCGATTTGCGCATATACAGCGAAAATTTTAACAAGCAAACCCTGATTAATTCTCTTGATGTGTGTGCTGAATAATCATCGCTGTAGGGGCTGCTCAACGACCCACATCTAGGCACGTTGCTGGCTAGCTTAGCACCCGTTTTAGGCGGGATGTCAACAGGTTTCCGTAGTGTTTGTCTTGGTTTTATCTTTCAAAACGTGAGGAGGCAATTTAGTAAATGAGACAGAAGCTGCCACTTAAACCGAGGAGATCTCAGGACAGCTCACTCCCTGGATAAGCTGATATGGTTGAACCACAGAGATCAAGAACATGAGACAGGCAAGTGGATGCACTTCTGTTTTATTTTGTATAATTGGGGTTAGAGTTGGTGTTTACATTGAATATAATCACTGTTTGCCCAACAACAATATTTAATTAGATTTATTTTCTTTATGTAATGCACTGATCCAAAGAATAACATGTTAAAATCAAGACACTCGCATAGATGAGCACAGAATTATTAGCCCCTATATGAAGTATTTTGCCTTTTTTAAGTATTTTCCTAAGTGCTGTTAAACAGGACAAGGAATTTTTAGCAAGCATCCTAGTTTTATTTGGGATGTCTACATGATCTTACTTTAACAAACAACTACCGGGGTCAAAATTAATAGCTCCTTTGATGATAATAGTCTTTTTTTGGTGGTAATAGTGTGTTGTAGCAGCCTATTCTTCTCTTTGGTGAGTCTCTAGATTTTGATGGTCTTTTGGCATGGACTTTGGTCTTCAGGCTTTGTGCAGACCAGCCTGTAATGTTTACTTCGGTGCTCTAGTTTCTTCTCATCTGACACGCTTCTACTATGCATAATCTTTCTTCGGGTTATTCTTAGTACACTTCAGTCTGTCTTAAGGATATCTGTTCATCCGAAGTCAAGTTTTTCTTAATCTTCAACCTTGCAGTCCAATTCCTTTGCAGGGTTCTGCTGATTTTCTTCTTTGAGAATACAATTCCCAACTTGGCTAAGTCATTCACTCGTGCCTTGGCAGTTGTTCTGGGGTCTTTAGACACATCTCGCACTTGTTTTCTTTCCAGAGTCTTTGAAACCTTTCACAGGCTGCCAGGCTTGTTCTGTACTCTGTGACTCTCTTTGAATGTTTTGATGCAACTTCTCACTTTTCTGTTTCTTCACAGTTGAAAACACTGTGATAACTTTGTGTATCCATCTCCTGCTTTGTTTAGAACAATTCTTTTTCTAAATGATAAACTGATTTTGTTTGTTTTTGGCGTGATGCTTTCTCAACTGACAGCACTGTTGTGTCACATTGACGAGCCTCAGTTTGAGCATTACAAAGTTAAAGCACAACAGTGGTTTGTGGTATGGTCAGTTTTTCAGGGGGCTAATATTATTGAAATATAATAATGCTGCCCAACACACAGCCAAAGCAAACGCCTCTAGCCCCTGGACTCTGCTCCGGATCTTGCTGCGTATCCCAGGATTGGAATAGCAGTGCTCAAGCGCCTTGAGGCGACTGTTGTTGTGATTTGGTGCTATATAATTAAAAATTGAATTAAATTAAAAGGAAAAACATTCAAAGATGAATTTATAAGACCATGGAATAAAGATCTTTTAATGGCTTAGCCAGAATAGATCATCAATCATAATGCTTCACTTAGATTTGGCTGATAGGTGATATTTAGTTTCATGGTTCACGCCAAAGCTTAAAACTAAAGCAGATGTTTGTTTTTGTTACTCTTGCAGGAGATTGTGGAAAATCTATGAAATCAAAGAACATGAAATGCTGAAAATCTTCCCACTCACGCTCCCGTTCTCATGACGCCAGCAGGGAGGTATGGGCTTCTCAAGGGTAGTAGCCAGAATCATGGGTAGGATCAGTACATTCAGGTCCTATCAGCTGGTGCTTCTGCTGGCTGCTGCACTCGCTGTTGTAGCTTTTTACTACTTTGGCTCAGAGAGGCAGAATTTCTCCAGCACCACAAAGAGGATCAAGCAGACCCAGGCCAGTCACAACACCAACAGAAACGATGCAGACCTCACCGTGGACACCAGGCTCTCGCACCCGGACGAGCCGAAGGAGCAAGGACGGGAAGAGCGAGGCGTAGGAGAAGACGGCGACGCTTTGACGTCCAGGGAAGCGGACAGTGAGGCTGGTTTCCAACATTACCACGTGCTAATGATGTTCACCAAAGTGGACAAGAGCCGGAGCTTGCAGGATAAATTCCGAGTGGCCATGCTGTCCATGGTGAAACACGGACACTTCTTGGAAGGAGAGGTGTTGGTTCTCCACTTTGTGAGTGACCAGGCCAGCCAAGAGCTGGGCAAGAGGATGCTGCTGGAGCTTTTCCTTGACACAACGTTTAAATACGAGGTATTTCTCGACACTCCCTCCAGTAAATGCCGTTAACTTATTTAGTAGTGTTTCTGACCAAGTATCTATTTATTTAGACATATTAGTTTGTTAATAACAAAACAAAGGAGTAAGTGATTTATGCAATTAAACACTTGACAGACAGACTGCGTTCAGCTTGATTTATATTTCTAAGATATCTCTATTTCTAATAGGGAGGGAAAAATATGTTTATGTAAATTCTTCTTGTGGGTAACAGATCCTATTTTTAGAGCCCAAAATGCTCATGATCCACACACACTTTCTGGGAAGGTATTTATATTTTTGCACTGAATGAGTGAGAAGGGGAGCTTCTGATAGAAATGTCTAACTTTTGTAACACCTTGACTAATCTCTGAATAGAGCTGGTGCGCTTCCTGTGAAGCTACTTGACACCATTTTTAATCAAAAATCCTTCCGGTTAAGAAACACATTGGCTGTACTTGCTATTTACAGTTGAAACACAGGGGGGCAGTGTTTCCCTGCCAAGCTGATGCCTCACACATGGGAATATCCCTCCCTTATTGTGTTCTTCCTGCCAAAAAACAGGATTATTTCCCCCCCTCTTGTGCTCTTTCTGTTACATGCATATTTTACCCACTTTCTCCTGTTTTGTATTTCTCACAGAGCACACCATCATAAACTGGCTTACAAACTACAATCTCCCTTTTCAGATCTTCCTCGACAGGCAGGGCCTCCTTTCTCAGGAATGTCTCATCTTATAAAACCTCTGCTGTGGATGTTCCACTGCTCTTTTATCTCAGGCTGATCGCATTCCTGCTGGGATTGGTCAGGGATCTGCTCGGCTTGGGATCTTGGCAGTTTAGTGGCTGCAGGTTGGATCGGATCCCGGTCAGATGATTCTTTTGCAATCAGACCGTACTCAGACTTTTCTAGTGGATAAGTTTTACTATGCAGAGCTAAGTCCTCAGAGAACTGCTGCATGAATATTAGAAAAATGTTGTGTCAAAAACCCATTTTTGGTTATATTTGCTTAAAGCATTAGCAGGGACTTGGTCAGACAAGAGTTCCTCTGTGTTGGTGCGGAAATGCTAAACCTGACTTGTGGGTATTTTCTTTTCCTTTTGCATTTACTATTTCTGTCACAATTCTATGTCCTTCTTACTGTAGAGATACAGTTGTGTGCTAAAGTCTTGAGCCACCACTCATATCTTTATATTTGGCTTGGAAAATGGGTGCATGGATTCATTGAAACATGTGCAAACACACATGGAAGTGCAGCATAGAAGGGAAAAACAATTCCAACGAGCTTCAAAGTCAGTATTTGTTGATCTTCAAAGCAGACTGAACTCACTTGGGTGAGTTTTCTTCCCATTTCTGTAAGTAGACTTCAGGAATAGTTCTCCAGGCTTCTTAAAGGACATTCCAAATTCCTCTTTGTTCTGTTCCCTGTCAACCCCACACTGCTTCAATAATGTTAAGGTCTGTGCTCTGCGGAGGCCAATCGATGACTGATGTGTTTTTCTCTCCATGTTTGCTTTTATTCCATTAGCAGTGTGTTGGGGATCGTTGTCACGCTGAAAGCTGAAGTTGCCAATCTGAGACTTCACAGATGATTTTGAGTGGTGGAGCAAAGTCTGATGCACTTTTCTGCATTCACGATTCCATCACTTTTTGACAAGATCCCCAAAACCTTCGCTTGAAATGCAGCTCCACTGTTGTACGTCTCTCCTGATCTCCTGCTTTTCAGTCCAGTTCTTGTGTAATTTGACGTATGTCAGCCTTTTCCTGTTCCTTTCATTACAAACGGCTTCTTGACAGCCACGCTTCCACTGAGACTGTTTGTGATCAGGCTTTAGTAAACAGTAGACGGATCGACTAAGCACCAGATCCATGTCTCAGGTCCTGTTTCAGGTCTTTTCTGCTTTGTTTTTTCCCTTTTAGACGTGACTTTCAGATATTGTTCATCTGCTGTGCACAGATTTTCAGGCCTCTTCCCCAAATCTGTAATTATCTCAAACATCTCTGGCTTGCCACGCATGCTTCATGCTCCTCTCTCCCCTGGTTTCCTCTCAGTATGCTCTCACGTGAAGACGTTTCTGTACTTTCTGTACTGCAGTACCCCCTCACCTTTAGTCTGATGTAAACACGTCTTGACAGTGCTTTATGTTGTTGTTTTTTAAATCTAAGTTACACGCTCCATACATTCAAAGTCGTTTTTTGTTTTCATCAGTCTCATAATATCATTCCAGACCAGCGATTTAAAAACCAAAAACATGTTTCTAGATCATGAATCATAAAACGGCCGTCTGCCGTCACCGCTGCGAGTACAGCCGCTGTCTCTCCTGCTTAGAGGCAGCGGCAGAAACGTATACCAGCAGTTTAGTTGGGACAGAGACTCCTCGGGGTCTGACAAGGGCAGTGCTGACATCCTTGTCTGCTCATCTTGAGGCTCATTCCTGTTAATGATTTAACTTTAAGGAGCACGAGGATTAGATAAGTATGTATTTTAGGCTACATTGCTTCCCAGCAGCAGCACATTAAATGACCCACTTGACATTTGCAGCAGAGAGACTGCAGAGTCACGCTGCCTAGAGGTTACACACTTCACTCCCTCACCATATTTCATGGAACTCACTTGAGCAGTGTCTCATGCAGTGCTGACAGCTCACAGGAATTAAGCAGTGTTGTGATATAATTCCTGGGTTAATATCTGCGTGCTAATGGCAGTGTTTTTGTGTCGGAGCCATTGTACAATATCTTAGTATTCTGCAGCTGATAAGAGGACATAAAAGGCAATAAAAAGTCGCTCAGGAGGATCCAGGAAACACAAGATCAACTCATTTAATAAAACTCAAGAAGGCTTTTTGAGGTCACTGATTTCTATTTATCCTGTAAAGTTCAGGTTCAAGGACGAGTTAATGCCTCATATTCCTGAAGTTAACGTCATACTGACAGAGACTTTTGTGTCCACGTTATTAAATCCACTTTGTAAGCATCCATCCTCCATGTTTATGTTACATATGTTCATCATTTCTCTAGCTTTTCATTCAAAAACATGTTATTGCTCATATATAAGCGCAAAGTCCGAATCTTTTCCAGCTCTGTGCTCTCTGAAGGGAGCGCTGCTCGAGTCAGGCCACAGGAGTCAAAAAAGGAACTTTTGCTCAGTCCTGGCACGCCTTCAAAAGCAACACGGCGGCTGCCAAACACGTCCAGCCTTTCAAGTCCACTGCTAATATTACTCGATCAACTGATGTTTGAAAACATCAGAGCTCGAATGATGTGCTCGAGTTTCTCTGCTTGGTTTTTGTCGGTCAAACAAAAGTGAAAACTCTGGTTTTCCATTTATGTGCCACAGGTAAGATTTATGAGTCCGAGTGTCAGGATAAACCTGCACAGCAGTGTGAAGTTTTGGGGCTTTGAAAGTTGGAACTGGGTGTGTTGCAAAAATAACTCCGGTTCATTAAACCAGGACACAGTATTTTAGTACTTTCACATAAGCCCGCACTGGGAATTGATAAGGTTTCCCTGTACCAATATAGATTACCTGGGAATTTTATGACCTTTTTCTTTCCTTTTCTTCACAAATCCACCTGAACAATACATTTAACCCCTTAACTCTTTACCTCCTGAAAGCCTCTCGGCCTTCTGAGGCTGCGTCCACACAAACCCGGATAGATTTGAAAACGCTTCACGTCCACACTATCGTTTTCAGTCGTTTTCAGAGTTGTGCGTTCACATTGAAACGACCGAAGACGGTTACGTTCCAGTCCTGCGCATGTGTGATAGTGGTGTGTGGATCAATATTGAAATATTGATTCTTCCTATGCCAGTAATTTATGTTC